ACTATGTGAGAAATGAGAATAATGTTCTCCTGTCCTAGTAAAGCTACTAAAAACTTTTTCTTAGGTAAGCATCAACTTGGGCTTTTTTATAGTCTACGAACTTGTGATTGACTTCACCACATTTTAAGCACACAGACAATTCGAATCTATGATTTCAAGTGTTATCGTCTTACTCTCCGACATCACGTAATCCATGCCTCTAACCACTTTGGTATCCTCTGAGGTAAAAGTCGAACTTTAGAGCTACTTCCGGTTGAGAATGTCTCTCTCTCTTGTAGTTTCTAAAGAGGACAGCTGTGCTTTTGAGTCGTTCCGTTTTCTTTTAATTTTATTATTTCTTCGATTCGGAGTTTCGGACTGATCATTGACTTAGTTACGTCAAAATTAAAAACATTAAGTAAGATGACGTTGGGCTATCCAACAGCTCAACGTCATTTAAAGTTTTTTATTCAGACGAAAAGTCAGCTTCAACGAACAATTATAAAACATTTTTATTAGCAAAATCAATTGTAGAATCATATAAATATAATATATAAAATATAAAATCATATAAATATAAAAATATATTCATTGCAATTGGGAAATAGCTGTTCGAGAAAATTGTATATATTTTCTAAATTTAGTTTTCGGGAATTTGGCTTTCGGGTTTTTAGATTCAGGAATTTGACCGGATACCGTAATTTTGATCGAAAGATTGTTTGAATATTTATCGAAAATAGAATTCCTATATAATTGAAATTATAAGTGGAATTCCGCCAGAATAATCAATAATTTTTACTGTATTTACACAAGAAAAATTTTTAAAAAAACCTAGTGTTAAAAATTCGAAGGTTATGATGATGCTTATTTGACATGGAAAATGGTTGGCACATTGGAAATTTATATTTTAGAGAAAAAATCCCTTTAGAAAGTATTAAATAGAAACCCCTAAAATTTCATATTGTTCAGGACGAAGACTTAAGTTTGAAAAGTTTTAGAATAAAGTAAATTTTTATTGAACGAAAAGAATTTATGTAGAAATGATAGGAAATTTACTGGTTCTAAAATGATTTGAATCGACCTAAAAACTTTGTTACTTTCTGGTGTATTTTTCTGCTATTTGGAGATTAACTTTCCGCGAAGAAGTTGACCTGAATTAACCCCTGACTCCTGATGATATTTTTGTGTATTATTTTAACAATTTGAGGTAAACTTTATTTCTGTTGAACTGATTTGACTTCCAGGTGTGATACTATTTTGCTATTTGACATAAGTTTTCCCAAAGTTTTTGACCTAAATTCACCTAGATAATTTATGACTTCCCAGGGGTTCATTTTCTCTAAAAAGAAACCTGCGAATTAAATGAAGTAATGTTACATCTTCCCCACAAAATTATGTGACTTTTTTCTGTGCTTTTAATTTCATTATTGAAACCTAAGGGAAATCACGTTTGCTGACGCCAAAAAATATACATCGCGTTTACCATCAAACGTTGAGAAGTGGAATAATTTAGATTGCAAACTGTAAGTTTGCTTATCAAATAGAGTCGAACTTTATCGTTTGCAGTTAGAGTTTACATTTTTTTATTAATTTTAGATTTTTATTACTTTAGATTTATTACGTTAAGGTAGCGCAATTCTATTTCATTAAATTTCGATCCTTTGCTCTCTAATAGAAATATCAGGGATTAGGATACTTTTACATATTTTGTCATAGCATCAACATTTATAAACAAATGTTTTATCATGCAAATTTACAATTTTGCTAGTGATTTTTCGAAAATGGTAGGTATAGTTACGTTGAAATTTATCAAAGAAGTGAAATAAGTAGTACGACTCAATGTCAGGAATGCAACACGCAGCTGACAATTCAGAGCAGTAGAATTTTAACTGTATAGTCAGACCTTGTGACTAATAAACGAATACATAATTTGAATTACTCTTTTCAAAAAATGTATCGAAGTTAAATTAAATTTTTACTATTATAATTTTAACCAAGGAATTAAGTTCGTCATTAAAATCATCAATAAATAGCAAAGTAACTAGGGCAGATAGATTTTGACTTTATATCTACTGTAAAGAAGAACAGAACTGCGATCAGTACGTAGATATCTAGTTAGATATCCTCCATAATTGTCTTCGTTTTAAATAAAAGTTCCCAATCAATAAAATAATATAAAACAATGAAAATGGAATAAATTAAAAATAAATATGTTTCTGAATTGAATATTGTTTCGAAACCAAAACGAAATTTTTAAAAAAATCATTTAATTTCACCTACTAAGTAATGTTCTACCCTATTGTTAGAGTCAATTTTGTTTCTAAAAAACTTGAAAAACGAAATCATTGATTTGCGATCAGGGAATAAAAGGGTCAGATCAAATTGAACGTGATCTCAACTAATGGTGAGACACTGACATTTAAAATCATTGTCTGACAAAGTGAACGCAATATTCCGATGAGTTCCACACCTTTATGGAAGCAATATTAATTTTTTATTATGTTTGACCACCAACAATAGTGGGAAAGTTCTCTATTTAATTATAGAAGTCGGATATTATAAAATATTTCCTGGGTGTTAATTACGTAATTTGATTTTACCTCGACGTCGAACAATTCAATTTGGAATTTAATTTGTTTCTCTTTGACATGGCAAATTATTTTCACATTTTTTTTATTTTTATGTTCAAATATCTACTATTCACGTTTTTATAATTAACTGACAATTTTAATGTTTATTATCTACTTATTAGAATGTGAATTTTTTGCGAGGCGGAATGAATTTGTATTAAGCAATTAATTAATTGTTAAATTAAATCTTGGTTTTAGCAAATAAAATCACTCAGCGCTATTGGATTCTAATTTGTTGGGGCTGTATAATTGCGTGATTTAATAATTAAAATACTGAAAATAACAAACTAATAGAAAATGGTTAGAGATCTCAATTAAAATTAATTAAAATAATGTTCAAATTCAAATCATTTTTTTCCTCACAAAAATTCTTTAAAATCGCTTCAAAATTTTAAAAATCGAACAGATTCGCTTCAATCTTGTTACTTGTGGATTTTTGGGGTCGCTGAATAAACATATAAATTCTTCTATAAATATATTTCGAATTTTGAATATCTGATTTTATATTCGTTATCAACGACCCCAAAAACACCTGGATGACAAGTTTCATGCGATTTCGATCATTATTTAAAAAATTGTCCGCCATATTAGATCCGCCATTTTGAATTTTAAAAATCCGACTTCAAATTTGTAATCAGCGACCCCAAAAACCCCCGAGTAACAAGTTTCAAGCGAATTTAAGCAATTTAAAAAAAATAAGTCCGCCATATTGGATTCGTCATTTTGAATTTTGGGAATATGAAGAATCCGACTCCAGATTCTTAATCAGCGACCCTGAAACCCCCCCTAAAGTGTACTTGGTTAGGAAATCCTTTGATTAGAAAAATGTATGCTTCAAAGGGTTAATTGTTTATTATTTATTTATTTTCTGTGGGGGGAATTTCTATTTATTTACAGCAGGCCTGATTTACAGTAAAAACTGTCACTAAAAAATACGTGTCTAGTGAAAGTCAAAGTCAAATCAAAATCAATTCAATTTATTGTAATCAATCCTCAATAGAAGAAATTATGCTAATATACGTTAAAAATTGATTACTTATAAATGTTATTAAAAAATGAAAAATAACATGTGAAGTGTGTATCATTTACTAGTTAACTGCAGTTGGTTGCACGAGCAGAGGATTTAGAGCACAATCACATCTTTCGTAATATTTTAAAGGTCGAGTTCGCGACTTCGAGACGAACGACCCATCCTTGGTGGAGTGCAGAGATCACATTAATTGCAGGGAATGTTCTATAAGGGCCTTGCAATCCTAGTTTTCTACTCGGTGTCTTTCCATTTGCTCGAGTCTCTCTCCATATTCATCTCTCGCTCCCTCTAAAGACATAAATGCTTCTTCGAGGTAACGGAGCGTGTGAAAATCGAGACACGATTAACATGCTACCAACATAAGAATCTCTAGAATGAATCAGGTCAAGATTTGTTTATCTCATTTTTAGAAAAAAAATTTCTGGTCCTGTGTAATAGTTGTCATCATTTTTATTCTCCTTTTGACTTTAAATACTAGTTCAACGTATAGTTAGAGGAAAAATACACAATTACTTTTCAAAATTCTATCTTCTGGAATATGGTATTTCAACCACACAATTGAAATAAAGAATTGTGTATAGACTGTAGAGAGAAAGTTTTTTTTTTGATATAATTTGCAAAAGCTGAATTGTGAACATTGAAAAATAATAAAAAAGCTTTTCGAAATCAGTGAAACTGTATTTTCTTTTGCAAATGTCGAACATAAACCAGTTAATGACTTAGTGAATGTCATTCTACTAGAATTTTTAACAAAACAATTTGCTTCTTTAAATAAGACAATTGTCAAAAGCTGCATTTTTTTGCATATTTAGATTTGTGAACATTTAAAATCTACAAAAGCTTTTTGCCATCATTGAAAAAACACTAAAAGCAACTTTAACTGTCGAATTCAGTAGAGCAGTTATGCTCTACTGAATTCGACAGTTTAAATCATAACCTTATCATCATAACCTTGTTGACTTGTTTGTAAAGAAACAAAAAAAGTTATTATTATTTTTCCAAAAAGAGTAAATAATAAAAAGCAAAAACCACATAGAATGTAACAGATGTTTTCAATCGGAAATTTCATAACAGCTGTAAACAAATATTTTATACACCCATAGGGGAAAAAATTGTGCGTGGATAAATTGATAATGTGAAGATTAGTAACATTGAGATGTTTATCATCCGTTTGAAGGTTATTTGTGAACCTAAAGGCTTCTATCATCCTAGGAAGGTGTGTTCGATTGCGACCTTCTTGCACAATGGGTGAGTCTCCCATCAACGGATATGATTTGAAGGGATCAGCGGGGGCGCGGTAAAGATCCTAGAAACGTATATAAAGATCCTCCACCGACTTTCTTAAGCACATTCAACAATCGAGAGCCAACAAGATGAAGATCCTTGTAAGTAATCGTTGAATGAATGTGTGTATCCCCTAAAATTCAATTCATCCCTTTTTCTTAACAATCGGATTATTAAAGTTGGATTTTAAAGTTATCAAACTTGCTCAATAAGTGCGTTATAAAGTGATTTTCGAAAAGTGAATTTTTCTTTTCTAATCATCAAAATTGTCTTGGAAAATCAGTGTTAATGTGCTTAAATTCAAAGATGATTTTTGAACTGATACAATAAATAATAATACATCAGTGATTAAAATTAATGTTCAGTGTGTGTTTAAAATTTTAAATGCAAATTAAATGGATTTTTATTCATTTAAATGATTATTTTCGTAGAAAACTAGAACAGTCTGATGTAATTGTTGTCAGCTTTATATTGTCAATAAATTATTTTTAAAATTAACAAAGATTGCAAATGTATCTGTAAGCTTGAAGGAAACTTGCAGTTCTAACTTGTTGCAAGTAGCAAAATTTTCTCATAGCTTTCTAGTATGTAAGCTTGTAGGAAACTTGCAGTGTAAGTTTGCTCCAAGAAGCAAAATGTCCTCCTAATTTCGTTGTACCTAAGCTTGCAGCATACTTGCTAAATAAGTTTGCAGGACAAATTTTCTGTTGGCTTACATACTAGGAGGTTATGGGAAAATTTTGCAACTTGCAGCAAGCTTGCACTGTGACTTTCCTGCAAGATTGTAGGTTAAGTGGTCCAATTCGCCCTAACAGCAATGGATATTCTAAGATATTCTACAGACATTTTATTCACATCCAGAAAACTCTGAAAACTTGTGAGATCGTTTTTTATTTTTGTATTCAAAGTGAGGTTCATTTTTTCATCTTTTTTTTACCTTCTTTTGTTATCATGTAATTTATAAAACTTAATTCCTACATACTAAGGGAGAAAAAATCCCCAAATGTTGGGAGTTGAACGCACGACCCTAACATTCGTAAAACGGATAACCTAACCACCTAACCACGCTGGCAGAGAAAAAGCTTTCTTTAAGATCAAGAAACAAATAATTTCTGATACAAAGAAATTAATCATTCTTTTCATTACATCCTAAATGGATTTTTAATCCAATCAGGGAGGGAAAGACAATAGTTACTGAAAAATTTAAGTTTTTATCGTATTTCGATGACGTAAACGTTGGAAATTTCAGTTTCCAACGGAATATGATTTTAACGCAAGTTAACAAGTCCATTAATGGCTTTAAAACATTAACTGGAAAGTTATATCGTTAACGAATATTTTAAATTTTTAATTGAGTTAATTCACTGAAACTTTAATCCTAAAACTCATGAAACTTTAAATAAATATTTAAACATAAGCAATTTTTCAAGGTTGGGTGCAAAAAAGAACTGAACATTGCATGAAAGTTAAATTTTTTTTTTAAATTTAAATGAATATTTTTTATAAATTGTAAACTTTTATATAAATGTTCAGTCAACTTTTGCGTCCAACATTGAAAAACTGCTGACACATTTCAGTTCAGTGCTGAACCTTTCAGTTCAATATTGTCTCAATCTTGACATGCAATATTTAAACATTACTTCAAATCACACTAAAACAATTACTGATACATATTTGTAAATAATTTTTTTAATATATTTATAACTTATAATCTAGCAAGCAGCAGGATTCTCATAGGGGCCTTGTAAAATTTCCCTTTTATCTATCTGAGTCTCGTAAGGAAAAATGTAGGGAACTGATTGGGCCCCGGAATTTTCTGTGACGCTCGTACCTTGTCAGAAATGTCTTACAGGGAAATGTCCCGAGGAACCTACGAGATCCTCACAAGAAAACTGATTTTTTTTCTATTATATTTCTTTTATTTATAAATTTTCAAATATTTAATATAATAATTACAATATTTTTAAAAACAATAATGATTTATTTATGAAATATTTTAATAACAAATTTAATTCAACAATTAATAATAACAATATTATTACAATTTTTACAATTAAAAGTTAAATTTAAAAAAAAAATTAAAATTATTACCATGATTACAGTATAATTACAATTTCAATTATATCAATAATTAAAATTAATAACGAAACATGATATAGAACAATTATTCGTGATTCCATCTCTTCATTAAATTAAATTTATATTTTATATGTATATCATAGTTTCTTTCTTTTTCTCGATCCCTGATAAGTTTAAAAAAATTGTTACTTAACCTTATAAATAAATTATTAATTTTTCCAATTACACAGTAAATCGTAAGGTATTAAAAAGTGTTGCAGATTAAATTAACACCAAAAAAGATTTGTTTACAATATTCAATTTCACGAAATTTCAATTATTCCTAAATTCTTTAATTAAATGCATTAATAACGAAATATTAGAAAATAAAAACTTTAAATAATATAAAAGAAAATTAAATTAAACTTTTACAAAAAAATTAATTTCAAAATTCAATTATTTCTAAAAATTCACGCTATACTGCTTTTAATATTCAATTATAATCTAAAATTTTAACTGAAATTCATTTTTATGAAATGAAAGTCAATTTTTATTAGAAAATTCTACAATAATTTAATTATTTAAATGCAATAGCAAATAATTTATTGAATAATTGAATGTTTCTCAAAATTTAATTCTCATAAAGAATTTTATTAACAAATTTTTAAATAATTGAATTCTTTTCTCGAATTTTATTAAAACTTGCATAAACATAATTACTTTTTTCAAGGAATTCAATTATAATTGAGAGCTCGGATCGAAGAACCGACGCTTCGCAATGTTCTGCGTGCGTTTACAAGCTCCGAGCCCTCAATTGTATGAAAAATAATTGAAACGCTCCGATGAGTTTTATTTTTAGTAAAAATAATTAAATCCTTAAGAAGAATTTTAATACTCTTCAAAATACTTGAATATCTGGAATAATTTATGTAATTTCTCCAAAATTAAATTTTTTTCTAGTGTTTTTAACTAAAATTCTTCCATAAATTCATTATTTTTAATAATTTTTAAAAAAGTTCTTTGAGAATTTTCAAATTCATTCGTTTACAATTCAATTTTACAAAATTTCAATTATTCGGAAATTCTCCAATTGAATATAATATCGAAAAATAAAAACTTGAAATAATTTCAATAAAAATCCTATTAAACTTTTAAAAAGGGAATTAATTCTACAGAATGGTTTGTCGTCAAAAATATGAAAAATTAAGAATTTCAATGATTTTAATTTGAAACTTTTTCAAACTTTAATTATTTCTAAAAATCCATATTATAATGCTTTTAATATTTAATTATAATCTAAAATTTTAACTGAAATTCATTTTTCAAACCCTTTTTTATTAGTAAATTCTACGAGAATTCAATTATTTAAATACAAAAAATACAAATACAAAAAATGTTATTAACAAATTTTTAAAAAATTAAATTCTTTGGACGAATTTTAAGAATAATTACATTTTTCGAGGAATTCGATTAAAATTGCATTAAAAATAATTGAAATTCTGCAATGAGTTTTATTATTTATGAAAATAATTGAATTCCTAATAGAATTTTATTATTTATAAAAATAATTGAATCTCTGTAAAAATTTTATTGTTTATGAAAATAATTGAATGTTTGCGTAGAATTTTATTTAAATTTTTTTCAAAAAATGGAATTCTTTTGGAAAATTTTATTGAAATAGTAGATATTGAAAATCATTGAATTTTAGAATACTTTTGAAAATAATTGAAATTTTGAGAAGAATTTGATTAAAATTTTGTAAAATAATTGAATATCAGAGAAGAATTTTATTATTTATAAAGAGAATTGAAATTTTTTAAAAATTTTTGAACGCAATTGAATTTAGTAACTATGTTACTAAGTTAGTTAGTTAGTAAATAACTTACTATTCTCCCTGAAGAAGCTAAATTTGTTCACGGAGAAAAATATAAAGTAACTTTTACTACTTTTATAGTAAAAAATTTCCGGTAAAGCATTTCTGGTAATTTTAAATACTTTTGGAGTAAAAATTACCAGAAATGCTTTACCGGAAATTTTTTACTATAAAAGTAGTAAAAGTTACTTTATATTTTTCTCCGTGTTGAATTTTTACAAATCGTTGACTTTTGTGTTTTATTTAAAGTAAAATTTCATTCATAGTTAAAAATAACACCAAAATAGATTATTTTAATCCTTTCTGGTGTTAATTTAATCCTAGAGGGATTAAACTGTTGCAGATTATTTTAATTCATTCTGGTGTTATTTTAACACCTCACGTTTTACTGTGTATACCTATCTAATTATTGTATTTGTGAACTTCAGAACTTGAGTAAGTATTTATTAATTAGTTGTTTAAATTCATTTGATAATTATTTAACTTTTTAAATTCAATAATAATATGGGTTTTGTGTTATATATATTTTGATTATGAAATTTTAATTCTTTCGTTTTTGCGACTTTATTTTTATTTAGTTGCAACTATTTTCACACTTAGTATATGTTCTTTATTCAAAACTAATGATAATAGTATTTTTTCTGTATATCTTTTTTATTTTTATTATTTACATTTTTTAATTGATTATATATGACCTAAAATGATCATTAAAAAACAAAAAGTGAAGAATTAAATTTCTAGAAAGGACCTTGCGTGGTTCTTGTAGGATTTTTACTACATTTCCTTGTAAGACAATTCTTACAAAATCCGAGCGTCATAGAAAATCCCGGGGCCTAACCAGTTGCCTACATTTTTCCTGACAAGATTTTTACTAGAATTCAATTTTTGATAAGAGAATTTAAGGAAATTTCTACATGGGTGACCAAGTTAGGACCAGGTTAAGGTGCAATATTCCAAGCTAAGACAGACCGTTTATATTGATATTAGTAAATAAATAAATTTCTGGGAAATCCTACGGATATAATAATTTCCGGTCACTGTCATTGAGAAACTAAAATTAAAGTTTGTTTGTAAAAGAAACGAATTGAATTCAATTGTACTGAATGTTTTTTCGAAAGAAAAGTTGAATTACCTGTGCTATGTATGTGTACAGATAATTTCCCTGGCATTCTTGGCTGCTGCCTCTGCCGCACCGGCTTATGGATACGGTGGTCATGGATATGGTGGACATGGAATTTACGGTGGCTATGGTGGTTTCGGTCATGGAGCCTATGGTGCCCATGGAGTAGCACTCGGAGGTCCTGTTTTAGGTCCAGCTAGTATAGCCGGTCCCCATGTAGGACACTCTTCCCTCGCTGGTCCTGCAATTGGACCATCACATCTCGCTGGTTCTGTTGCTGGACCAGTGCACGTTTCAGGTGCAGTTGCTGGTCCAGCTGTCGTCACAGCATCCGTCGCTGGTCCCGCCCACGTTGAACATTACGGTGGTCCCTATGATGGCAGTTACGTTGATGGAGGTAAAAGTACAACAAATTATTCATTAATTGAAAATTTGAATTTACCTAAAAAATTCATAATCATCTCTTTTGAAGGCTTTGGTTATGGATATGGAGGTCATGGATATGGAGGCCATGGAGGAATCATTGCCGGAGTAGGACATCATGGAGCAGTGTTCCAGGGTCCATCTCATCACGGTGCCGTCTTTGCTGGTCCCGCATCTCATGGAGCAATTCTCGCTGGTCCAGCAACTCACGGTGCAGTTCTATCTGGACCTCACGCGGGTAGTGCAGCAATTTCCGGACCACATGAAGGTTCCGTTGTGATTGCTGGTCCCTCTGGCAAAATTACAACCCACGGCAGTGGAGTCGGAGCAATTCATGCTGGTTATGGTCACGGCCATGGTCATCACTGGTAAAACAACACCAATAATCAATATCTATAGTAAAATAAAATAAAAAAACAGAAAGACTTAAGACTTTTGCGATTTATTTGCGAATCATCTGGAATCTGACATAAACGTCCGGAGTAAATGCATTTCTTAGAATAATTAAACAAGAGCAATTTTTTTTTCCTATTTCGATAAGTTTCGCCTTGATGTATGTGATTTTAATGTATGATCTTCTGCCGAATTCTTCAGTCAAAATAAAATCTTTTTTATAATAATTTTTACCATTGTCTTCTACCATAATCTCAATACCTTTGTTTGTAAATAGAAATCAAAGTCTTGATCAGAGGGAAAAATCTCATTGCAAGTCACAAAGTTACGATGCATGTAAAGGGTAAGGTCAAAAGTAGCGTGATTTACCACAACACAGTTTGTCAGTTATTTTTTCCAATTATCTTTATAAACCATCTTCGTCGATTTACTATAATATTATCTATTGACATTCAAGCACACACCAAGTCTTATTGACCCACTGAACTTTAAATTATTTCTAATGTCAATAAAATTGATGAAGGCATTTGTAAATTTTATGAATATTTTGCTACACTTGGAAAATAACGTAAACAAATTTAGAAATAGGAGAATAAAAAAAAACTTTAGAAAAAAATAATAAATTAATGGATTTAGTGTAGAATTTCTAAATTTATCAAATACGAGAAATAAATATTAAATATAATGTTAATAATATAAATTAGTGATACGTGAAAAAAAAAAAAAATTCTCATGGGAAATTGTTGGCCGATTCAATTCGTGATGAAAAAGTGGCATTAACGTTTGATATCGACTGCGTAATCTCTTTTTATTTCATCATCATTGGAGATGTAGTTGCATTGTGAGAGTGCACTGAACCTCCACACAAATTCCCTTAAAGGTCACCCACTTCATGTTGAACCAAAGCAAAAGGAAGACTACAAGAAATAGGTCAATTGACACGCCCAGTTTCACACGAAATCTCCCATCAAAATAATTTACATTACCACAAATTGTATTTACAGTTGCAAATTTATCTTCGTAATTGGCAAAATTAGAATATTAATAATAATAATAATAACAAAAATAATAATAATGGCTAATAATTTACTAGACACTTGGCTTGCTTGGCTTGCTTGGCGGGTTAATTAAACATATATGATGAAAATCATCAGCTTTATTATCAACTTATTAATACATGTTTAATTTACATTAGTTAAATTTATTAAATTTATAGCCGTAGTGACTCTCATATAACTTTACGCTAGCATTTCAATATTTCTCAACACATTAAGAAACAGATAATTTATTCTGAAAACAAGTTGGAAATATATTTTATGAATTTAAGTCAAGATGAACGTTTAATTTATAAAATTGCGATAAAAAAATTTATACCATTTAATTAATTAATCAAAGATAATTAAACAAAAATGTCTAACATTTATTTGTGAATATACATTATATAATAAACGATAAAGTATAAAGTAATTATTCGAGAACAATAAAATAGAAATATCTTATTAAAATAAATCATGTCGGAGGGAAAATTTATTACCTTGAAAAGAATATAATAATAAAGATCAATCATTCGTTTGTGTATGTGCGCAATTATAAACGGATGGAATGTTGTATTTTGTTAGTAGCGCAATGCAAGTCAGCATGGAAAGTGTGTTTTTCAATGACAAAAAGTGATTATCGTGTAAATCACAATAGTATTTGGTCCGGGGTCGTGCTACGTTAATCAACAGGTCATCTAATACTGATACTCGACATTCCTAATGGTTGAGATTGATTTTTAACTGATTTTTATCAAATATAGAATTCACTTAAGCTGCGGCCATGATCGTAAAATACTCTTTTACTGCCACATTTACGATCGTGAATTTATTTTAAAACTCCTTTATATATATAAATGTAATAGAAAAAAAGCCGTTCGATTTACAACTTTAAATTAAAAATTAAATCGATCTGAGAAATTTTCGCCAAATTTACTTCCTTATGTACTTTTAATTTTAAAGCTAATAATTTGAAGTTAACAGAAATTTTAAGTCCGGAGATTGATGGATAATACAAATATTTTTTCGAAATCAATTTTACAATAAATTTTCACCTGTTTCCATTTTTTTAAAATTATCTTCGGAAATATAATTATTTTTAAAAACATTTTTAATACATTTTCTCAAGAAACGAATTATTTCGAAATTTCTAAATTAAATTATCTAAAACTTCAATACTATTTGTTAAACAATAATTTTAAAAAAATTCTTATTTATTTTTCCACTGAAATTAAAATTTCAAATAAAATTTCAATGAAAGACCTTTTTGAAATTTAATTATTTCAAACAATTGCAACTGTAATTGATACAAAATTCAATTATTTTTTTTTAAATTTTTAAGTAATATTATTCGAAATTTTAAAAATGTTTAAAAATAATATCATTAATAATTTTATAAAATATAAATTTAAATACTATTTCTATATTTTTTCTTTCCTTAAATGTTCAAAGAAATTAATTTTTGTATTTTTTAAAATTTAATTACCTACTTCCTATAAAATTCCTGTGATAACGCTTTAAATATTCAATTATTTCCCTAAATGATAACTGAAAATTTTTTTTAAATCTATTCCTATCAGAATTCAACCACAAGAATTTAATGATTTAAATAGAATAATTTTTGTCTATTCGTAAAATAATGTATTTTCAAAAATACAATTATATTTGTAGATAATTTTCAAAGATGAAAAAATAAAATTCTTTAAAATGTAAAATTTATTTTCATAAAATTTTTCAAAATTTCCTATTGTTCCAATTTTTTAAAAATTATTTTCGGGAATTCAAGCATATATTGTAACGTCACCGTATCTAATATTAATAATAATATGTACAATAATAATAATTAATAATAATGGTAGCAATGATAATAATAATGATGGTAACAATGATATGAAAATTAATAATTATTATTTATATATATTGTTGACTACAATTGTTTTAACTAATAATTCAGTTTTGTTACTGTAACTTTATCAAAATTATTTTCATTATTTTAATTCAATTATTATTTTCTAGAATGTTAAATTATTTTTTATGAAAATAATAATTCAATTCCTTAAAAAAATTTTATTATTTATGAAAATAATTAAATGTTTGCATACAATTTTATTAAAAATTTCTTTTTAATAATTTACTTCTTGTTGGGAAATTTTAGTAAAATAAATATTGAAAATCATTGAAATTAAAAAATTTTTTGAAAATAATTGAAATTAGGACAAGAATTTTTTTGACATTTGTGAAAATAATGGAACTTTGGAGAAGAATTTTTTTATTTATGAAGATAATTGGGATTTTTACCAGAATTTTTTTCAAATTTTGAACATAGTTGAATTTTATAAGAAGAATTTTAATTTTTTTTGAAAATAATTGAATTCTTGTACAATTTTCATTATTTATGAAAATAATTAAATGTTTGCATACAATTTTATTAAAATTTTTTTAAAAGAATTGAATTCTTTTTGGCAAATTTTATTAAAATAGTAGATATTGAAAATTATTAAAATTGAATTAATTTTTGAAAATAATTGAAATTAGGACAAGAATTTTTTTGACATTTATGAAAATAATTGAACTTTGGAGAAGAATTTTGTTATTTTTTCTAATTTTAAACATAGTTGAATTTTATAAGAAGAATTAAAATTTTTTTTTGAAAATAATTGAATTCTTGTAAAATTTTTATTATTTATGAAAAAAAATCAAATGTTCGCATAAAATTTTATTAAAATTTTTTTAAAAGAATTGAACTCTTTTTGGAAAATTTTATTAAAAAACTAGATATTTGAAAATCATTGAAATTAGAAAAATTTTTGAAAATAATTGAAAGTAGGACAAGAATTTTTTTGACATTTGTGAAAATAATTGAACTTTAGAAAAGAATTTTTTTTTATTTATGAAGATAATTGGTATTTTTACGAAATTTTTTTAAAAAATTTTAAACCTAGTTGAATTTTATAAGAAGAATTTTAATTTTTTTTTTTTGAAAATAAAAATTTTTATTATTTATGAAAATATTTAAATGTTTGCATACAATTTTATTAAATTTTAAGTGCACTTGAGGCCAAGTGCACTTTTAAAAAAACGTGAATTTTAACATTGTTTCTACGAAAATATTTTATTTTATTTTTCTTTTAAAATAAAGTGTTAATCAATGTTTAATTATGAATAAAAGTTTAGACAAAATCATCTCGCCTGGACTTTTACCCTATTATTGAAAGAAAATGTAAAAATCTAGTGTCGTTCAAAATCTACTTTACTGACTGAACCTAGATGGGAAACTCGATGTACGAAAAAAATTGCTACTCAAAAAATTCTAGCAAAGAACAAAAAAAGGGTAAAAAAGTTTTTTACGTTTAGAATTTTCTACATTTAGAATTAGTTCTTACGAGGACATTACAAACGAGAAAAAAGGGAATTTCTTCTGCTTGAAAAAAAATTTTTTTTTCTTCAGAAAAAAAAATTGGTGAGAATTCTTGACTCGAAATGTGAATAATAATGCCGTGTATCAAAAGATTGGATCTCCTTTCATTGTTAATACTTGATCGATATGCTGCTAAAGGTTCGTCACAAGATCGTGTTATGTTGGAGTCATTGATCTAGTGGAGAAGGCGATACGGCGACAGACACGGTGTACTAGTCGATGTCATTTCCAAAGCTGATAGTTCAACTATTTGAACTGACAATGAGAGGTGCTATTGTAGCACTCAAGTACTTACCTCGATCATACGATTCTATTCAATGAAATAGAAGAAAAAAATCTACTCTACCTCCTTCAATGCGAATGTTTATTTTCACGACTTTTTTTTTTATTGCAAACCATAAAAAGGTGGAAAAAAAATTTAAATATACGTCTTTTTTTTAAATTACAGATTATGTAACCATTTCTCCGACAAATCGAAATTATTAGACATTTTAATTTTTTTAAATTCGTTTTTTTATGTACTTTTCAATATTGTTTTAATTTTCAACTGTAATTGTAAAATAGAGACTTTAGAAATAAGTGAGTGAAAGTTTGATATAGAAATTGTAACTTTATTTTAGGACTGAAAAATTTTTTTATATCATATTCAAAATTTCAATTTGTTTAAATACTGATGTTAAAAATGTTCGGGAAATGAAAAAGTTCTAAAGTGAGTTGGTATATTTTTGTCAATAACTAGAATTTAATGAGAATTTTTTTTTTTTGTTTTATATTG